AAATCCAATTATTAAAAAAGCCCCAAAAACCCCCAAAAAAAATTCCCCTACTATTTTGTAAAAAAAAAAAAAAAAAAAAAAAAAAAAAAATTAAAAAACATTTTTGAAAACCACATATCCTTTCCTTGCGCTGTACAGTAATACTTTGTGTCAGTCTGTCACATTTAATCCCTATACAATAAGTTGAGTTTGGGATTGCAATTTAACAAAATGTGGAAAAGGTTCAAGAAAAAATGACACTTTTGCAAGGCAACGCACAGATTAAGTTGACGTCGCTGCGTTGCAGGTGCTTTACCTCTCTTTGTTTTCTCCGTGCTGTCCTCCTGTCCGTGTGCCCACCGCGGGGTGCCAACCCGTTAGACCACCGGGACAACTCCTTCAGCCGCTCCCGCTCCTCCAGCGTCACCAGCATCGACAAGGAAGCCCGAGAGGCCGTCAGCTCCTTCCACTTCTGTGAGACTTTTGCCCGGAAGGGAGACTGCGCTTTGACGCCCTGTCTGTATGTCGGCACCTCGCTGGGGACTGTGTTAGTACTGGCGCTCACTTTGCCACCTGCAGGGGAGCAGCGGCAACTGCAGCCAATTATCATTTCACCTACTGGTAAACGTCATATCGTTTCTTATTGAATTTATTGAATTACATTAGAGTTGAACTGTAAGATAAACGGTACAAAAGACCAGCAGCAGAGACGTTTGAGAGACTGTTTCTTTTCATAGGCATGTTGGTACGGCTCAAGGGAAGCATCATGCGGATGGCTTTTCTGGACTCTGCCGGTTCCCTGCTACCTTCTGCATTTGAAACGTGGTACGAGCCCAACGTCACAGCGGACGGCGAAGAAAGGGAGAAGATCCGAAGGCGGCGGCCCGTCTCCGTTTCACCTTCCAGCTCGCAGGAGCTCAACGAGAGCCAGTTTGCCGTGGTGTGCTCCGAGAAGCAGGCCAAGGTCATTTCACTTCCTTCCCAGACCTGCATCTACAAACACAGCATCACAGAGGCTTCTTTCATCTTGCGGGCAGACGTCGTACAGATGAACCAGTCGGTGTGCGTGGCTTGCTTTTGTGCCAACGGCCACATAATGACCCTCAGGTAAGGAGTTCAAGCAAGGTTTGCTAATCAAACAATTCATTTAAACAATCTAAGTGGATTTGACATTTCTTTTCCAGTAAAAGTGTTTTTTTATCTTTCTTAAAATTAGACCACCTGTTAAAGCCATTTATTAAATGCTATGCCGATTTTAGCATACTTTAGTGCCAAAATGGGAAAAAAAATGGTTGCAAATTGATTTTCAATTAACTGATTGTACAACAAATTGTTTTCACTAGACACCATTAAACCTTTATCAACTTACAAATAACATTTGTTATTTTTATTGTTATTATTTCGGATAAAACTGGTAATTTGGAAAGACTGAACTGCAACTTTGCAGCCATGGAGCCTGAGCTCCACAGCACTCAGATTGGACGAGGCATATGACCTCAGTTGTTTCCTGCTGTTGAGTTGTTACATCAAGTACTCCGTTCCATGAGGCCAGCAGGTTTCTATTATCACAGCAAGGTGCTACTAAGCACCACACTGACCATAAACACTGACCTAAAAGGCAGGACAGACGATGTAATTAGCTGAGGTGACATGAAACCACCTATTTTATTGGTTTGTTAAAGTCTTACAATATATATATATATATATTTTTTTTTTTTTTACTTTTTTTGCATATAACCCACACATCAGCTTTCAATAATTTTAGTTTTAAAAGTTTAATATGTATAACATTTATCAGTTTTTGATCGCATAACAGATGGTTATCCCTGTTTGTTGCGCAACTTTTTCTACCACATTTCCTCCACTCAATTTTCAAGCATCGTCTTTGGAAAGGCACTTTGTGAATGGCCAGTTTTATTGGCACGCATTTGTGGCTTACCTCTCTTACGGAACATGTCGTCGTATGATCCGTCCGACTTGCCAGGATGCACTTTTTATCGTGCTCGTCGCACAGACGACGTGTACCACATTCAACTCCGTCTTACGAACCATATCCTGAAGCGTTGTACGCAACGTTGTAGCTAATGAATTTGTCAAGGTTGGAAACTCTCCACTCAGACAGCAGGTGGATTTCTATGCAGCGTGTGACGGGTTGTAATTGAGGAGGGGTGTATCGGTGTGACGGTCGTTTTCATCAATCACGGTTCCCTGAAGTGACGGACAGAACAGCCGTCCATAACGGTGTCTGCAAAGGACGTCCAGCTGTTTCTTTGTGTTACTGTGTTTGTGCCATTATGTGCACCTCCTCCAAATTCTCAGTGCATAAAAAAAAAATGCTCAGACCTTCAGGGAATTTGAGGGTTTCAGGCAGTTAAGAAACTCATTTATCATGTTTAAAATATAAAATACGGGCTCTCGCTAAGACAACCTAAGGTGTGCAGACAACTGTTGCAGTTCTGAATACTGAGGAAGCCTGGATACGGTGGAGACAATTATTAATAATCTATTTGTAACCCACAAGAAAGGTTACTTTAAATACCTTTAATAGTAGATGGCAAGTTAAGTTAATTTACTTTACTAATACCAACACTACAGAAGTATAAAGGAAGCTGGGCCTGATCAGGAGATTCTAAATTCGGAGGAGCCTAGGTGTGAACAACAGAGGAGAGCACACTATGTAAATAAAAAAAAAAAATAATATAGAATTTAATATAAACATTTGTGGATCCATATTGTTCAAATAAACAAAAATTGCGCACTTTTTCTAAAAAATAAATAAATAAATACATAAATAAAAGAAATAACCCAGTCTTTTTGATGTCTGTCAAGTGTTCTTTCAAAGTTTGTTTAGTCTTTACAATGTGTTTGTGAAATATTTTTTCAATGTTTCACGGCTGGTGACCAGTTGGGTCATCATCTACTGGTTCACTCGGTCCTCTGGGCTGGGGCTCGCCATCCAAGTTCTTGTGGGGGTGATCTTGATGTCTCTGGGCATGATGCTTCAAAAGTGCACCATAAAGGAAAAAAAAAAAAAACTGACCTGGAAGAAGGTCAAAGTAAAGCATCTTAAAATTCAGGATGCTAATATCAACAAAGCTTAAGCAACAATTAAAATTTCAATCGAAAAGTGCCAAAGTACATCTATAACACTAAATCTAACATTCAAAATGTGGATTAGAAACCCGCATAAGCTCTGACCTACAGAGAACAGAAAGTTCCTAAGTAATAAAAGCACATTACAGCACCATGACACTAACAATGTCGAAATATTAAAACATGTACTAGAAAAAAGTAAATTTACATCGGACAAATACAACATACACATTAATAATGATATAAAGTTTACAAGACAATTTTATTTTTTATTAAATCTGAACAGTTATTAGGTATTTTAGCCAATTTTTAGCGAATTTACTGGGCCAACGGCTGAGCGCGTGCGATCACTCACCGATGCTTCAATGCTACTCGACTACAGGGGATTTTTCCGGACGTCAGCTGTTAGAACAGAAGCTTTCCGAGATCTAATTAAAAAAAACAAACAAAAAAAACAGATTCACTATTTTGAAATATAAATTCTGCGATACTATTTTAACATTGTCTTACCAATTTCCAGGATTCTTCGTAGAATTTAACAGAATCTTACAGGCAATTTACGGAACAACCATCAGCTCTCAAGGGAGGTGTTAGCTAAATCTCAGCCTGCAGTTAAAGGGGCGGGACAATCAACCTGATTGGCTGATGTGAAATCAAACTGTGCCAGTTATTGGTTGTTTAATCTGTCACTAAAAGCAATCACTAAAGGGATATTTCACAGGTTTTAAAGATTTTTAGCACTTTTTTTAATCAATATTATGAACATATTTACAAACGTATTCTTTTTTAACTTTATTACTTTTTAATCTTCTTGTAGAATAAGATATTAAGTCAACATCTATTAATTTATTACTTGTGTTTTTAACACTGGGTTACACATTCATTTCAAATCATTTCTGTTGCTTCTGTGCCTCCTTCCTAGTGTGCCGGGACTGAGACCACTCATGGATGTAAACTACCTACCTTTGACAGACATGCGGATAGCCAGGACGTTCTGCTTCACAAATCTGGGCCAGGCCATGTACCTTTGCTCGCCTACAGAGATTCAGAGGATAACTTACAGTCAAGAAACCTGTGAGAATTTACAGGCAGGTTACTCGGTGTTAAACCAACTCTTATGTTAGTCGTGTCTGCAAACTTTATGAAATGCAAAAAAAGAAAGGTGTTATATACTTTTTAAAAGTATATAACACTTCCAACTCTGTAAGTTCAACTTACAGAGCTTTTGATATTTTAGGAGATGCTGGGTGAACTTTTTACACCAGTAGAGACACCAGAGGCGCCAAACAGAGGGTTTTTTAAAGGTCTCTTTGGAGGAGGAGCGCAATCTCTGGACAGAGAAGAACTATGTAAGCCAGAGTCGTCGTAAAAATCATCTTCTCTTTAAATGCGTGCAATCAGACTCAACTTAATCTTTTTCGTCTTCTGTCCTGTTCCTGCTTCACTAAGTTGGCGAGCTAGCGGCCGGGAAGGCGTCTCGAAGTCTGGCCCAGCACATTCCCGGCCCAGGTGGCATCGAGGGGATGAAGGGGGCGGCCTCAGGCGTGGTCGGAGATCTGGCACGTGCTCGGATAGCGCTGGACGAAAGAGGTCAAAAACTGGGTGAACTGGAGGAGAGGACAGCTGCCATGATGGCCAGCGCAGATTCTTTTTCCAAACATGCCCATGATGTAAGAAAATGTGTTCAAAAATAACAATAATAATAATAATAATAATAAAAAAATTAACTTGAGAAATCTCTCATAAAAACATGTCAGAAAAACTTTTTCTTTTAAAGAACTTAGCATGTTGTTTTTCTTTTAGTGTGGCCAGAATTTGCTGAGTTACTGATATAACTTAATAAATATAGAAACAAATTTATTGTGGCACAAAAACTGTGAAAAACCAAACCAAAAACCAGAGTCCGGTTGCATTTTGCATCTCACAGCAGTGAACATGTGCCTTATTTGAATGTGCAGTACATTTTCTAGGATTGATGTGATGATCAGATTTTAATTACAAAAAGTTATAAAACATGCTAATGTTTACCATTAAGACATGTTTTCTTAACTGATGAAACAGTTTGCTCTTTCTTTGTTGCTGTTTGGGAAAGCTAAATTACTTAAAGCTAAAGGACTTAGCTTAAAGTTATTTATGCATTATAGGAATTACTTCTACAATGCACCTCTTGGTAAATGCTAACTTTATTCATTTGCCCACTAGAGGGCAGGATAGAGTCACGTATCATGACCTACGTATGTGATGTGACTTGTGTACAAAGCATTTTTATTTTATTTTGGAAATATGCATCCAACAGTTTGTACGTTGTTTTTAATTCACTGTAAACTCTCTCTTGGACATTTTTCTCCTGCCTCCAGATGATGCTGAAATGCAAAGACAAAAAATGGTACCAATTCTGATGGGCCATGGCGAGGAGCAGAGCTCTGTGGTTACAACTGTCTCACTGACCTTCCATCAGCTCATCTGAACTCACACCGACTCCCCCCCGCCATCTGTCCGTCGAGCCATCCGTCTGAGCCTTCTTCACTGGAAACATTTGGGAGTTTTTTTTTCCCCTAGCACAATGTTGGATACTGTTCTTACCTCAGTGTGAAGGTGGAACTGAGGTAAAGAGGGGCGACCTCAGAGGAAAGTAATACATAAATGGTGACAGTTTTATTTTATTTATTTATTTTTTCTTTTTGTTCATGTTAAACCTCCCTTCCAAGGCCTCAGATTGGTCCACGCGCCTGAGGAGTCCTCAATCTCATTTTGCCAAAACGTCCTTTTACTGTTGTCTCCTCTGTGTACCCTCTTGGCCAATATTCAGAACCAACAGCTAATGGCTGAAAGAAGACTTAACATTTAACCAAGTTACAATGAATTCATGTAAGAGAAAAGGAGTCTAAATAAATCTATATATCTACACATAGATCTAATAAATGTGCAATGCTGTATTCACTTGTAGACTTTTGTACTTTAGTGACAATTATGAAAGAATGGGATTTCTCATCAAGCCGATGGAAGAGAAGCGCGCGGAGTCTGCAACAATGTGGGCAGTCGCAAAGATTAAAGCTACTCTCTGATGTATGCTGGGTATTTCCTCATCTTATTCAATCTCAAAACTCCTCTGTATCTTAGACTTTTAAACTGTTACAGAGTGCTTGTGTGTGTGTGTGTGTGAGGCAGTGTGTGTATGTGCGTGTGTGTGTGTGTCATTACTCTGTTTAATATTTCTTGGGGTTTTCTGCTCTGTATTATTCAAAAACTTATTTTTCTAAAGGTGCGAAAATGGTCACAGACACAAAATTACTTTGTTCTTTCGAAAAGGGCTGGAATCTACGAGAAGAGCAAGGCTATCATTTCTTTATTTTTTAAATATTGAATTGGATCTTAATATTTGACCCAGTAGTCATCAGTCCAGAAAATGAAAAACCATCAACTTAAATCTATCTTTGATGTTACAAGCTTCTCAAATTATATATATATAATTGCAATGCTTCTTGGCAATTAACATTAGATAGCAGGTAAACATGTTTGTTTTTTTCCAACAGGGTGCCACATTTTCTTCAGTAAAAATGCATTTGTGGGTTAAGCAGCATAATGGAAGATTTTGGATGCATCCCTGAGAGAAAACCGATGTTTCTAAAACAATTTTGAAGAAACGAGACATATTTAGAACTGAACAATTTATGTATTTACCAAGCACCGTGGTATTTTGCATGCACTCCAGCAGTGCATGGAAGCACTGCGATCAGCCACAACAGCGTGGTTATATGCATGCTGGCCAACAGCTCGTTCATATGCCTCTGTAGGACGACATTCCGTTCTTTAACCAGCATTTCTCTCAGCCGGTTTGGTTGTGTTTAGTGAGGTTCGAGTCAGCACAAAATGCTAGCCACACTCCATCGTCTCATCCATTACCCTATTGCTGCAACAATATGCATAGAGTTCCCTGCATACACTTACACTATGACCCTACTATCCAAATGCTGCAGGAATATTTTGGACCTAGAACTATCGCCCACATTAAGGCTCCATTGCGCATGTTCTTGATAATGTATTAAGCACCTTATGGTCAGTACCAGTCAATATCCTCAATTCTGCTGCTCCCCCCACGACTGTATTTCCTTACAAATGTGGCGCCGTTCAGGAGTAGATAAACTACTGCTCACAGCATAAGCATGATCGCCATAAAGCATCGCTACGATAAAGTGTAAACTTCCTTCAGTGCTATCTTTTAAAAGGATACAATTCGAAATCAAATTCAGATTATTTACATTGTCTTTGTAAGATGACTTTCTGCGTTTTCTGTGTTTGTTTATTCATGAAGGAGGCTTGAGTTCAATGTCGGAAACGTTCACCTTGATTATGTTTTCCGAGTTCCAGCTTGTTTCTGGTGGTGTTTGCAGTCAGCCCCTCCATGTGGTGTATCTCCTGTGTGTCAGGCATCTAACCTTTATTTGTATATAAGTAAATAGTTTGACAATCTTAGACCAACTAGAAAGTAAACGTTAAGGTTGCACAAGAAACAAACGAGGAGATAGGCCATATTTTTTCTGACGCCAAAGAGTTTCGTTAGCTTGTCCATCGAGTCATTGTTTAAAACCAGCGGTCACCCCGACAGACATACATGTTCGCTTTTCAGTAACTTAGAATATTATTGAAAAGTTTGTTTATTTCAGTAATTTAATTGACAAAAAACTCGCATTATTCGGGTTCAATACTCAGAGTGATATATTTTAAAATGTTTTTTTTTTTTTTTTCTTTTCATTTTTATGATCATGTCTCATTACTAAGAGTAACCGAAGTTCAGTTATTCTGTCTAGTCTCCCCAAAACTCTTGAACAAATTTTGCATAAAAATACAGCCGTTCCTGATGATTGTACACCTTTTTCAATCACACTTTTTCGTTCCACCCATTTTACCTTTAACACAGTTAACGGCAGCCCTCGGTGAACAGCCACTTTTAATAGCAACTGTACCTTTTCTGGCATTAGCTTCTTTAGCTAAAGCCAGAAAAAGGTGGAGAACGTCAGAGACAGTCTTCTGGATAACTGTCAAGTCAGCAGTCTTCCTTATTGTTGTGTAGGCCTTAACACAATATATTCTTTAAAATTGGCCTGTGCAGTACTCCATATTTCTGTTAAACGGAATTTCGTACTTTTATTAGCTGCAACCCATAATCATTGAAATGAACAGAAATAAACACTTGAAACATACCACACTATTTAATGAATTAATCTAAAAAAAAAAAATAATAGAGTTTTGCTTTTTGAATTAAGCTCCTAAAATAAATGAACTTCTTATAAAATTCAAAGTGTTGCGATACATTACATGTTCATACATGAAGAGTGGACAGAGGCACAGTTCAACTTGGGAGTTCTATCGCCATCGCCATTTGTTGCCACTTGAAATTGCGATCGAATGCCATTTATTCAAAAGTACAAAATGTGACGTTTCATCTAAAAGTTAAATGTTTCAGTGGACCAAGTCAGTGATGCCGTTCCGTTCGGTCCAGAACCGCAGCTCACCTCATACAATACGTATGATGTTTATAAATGTGTGAGTGCGTGTTTGGATGTCTGTACGTCTGTGCCCATCTGAGTTACATATTATTAATATTGTTTTCTGGTAGCTCATGTCCAAGTCTCTCCTTGTTTAAAAAAAAAAAAAGTGAATCTGGGTGAGTGTCTGAGTACAGTTAACAGAGCTGCCAACACAGGAAAAAAAATTAAATAAAATAAAACGTGTCAGAGGATCAGCAGATGATGTCAAAATTCTGGTTTATTAAAACACATGTTTAGTCTGTATGCAAATAGCCTTCAATTTTCAGACAAAGCTGTTATGTATTACCGAGTTGTTCCACAGCTATGGTGGATGTCTGGTTTCTGTGTTCAGTATGGAGTGTGGATGCTAGCAGAAAAAAAGGAAAAATAGCCTGTCTTTTTTTTTTCTTCTATTTGTGTATGTCTTTTTAATTTTGTTTCTGCCCAAGGTCATGCTTTTTTTTTTTTTTTTTTTTTTGACGGTTTTTTGGGGTTTTTTTTAGACTTTTCTATTTTTTCACTCTTTTACACACC